GTGTGTGTGTGTGTGCTCATGCGCTGCAGCCCTTGCCCCTCCCCTTTGCCATGTTGACTGATGGGGTGGGGAGGGAACCTTACTAGATCCCTCAGCTGAAGGTGTGTGCGTGGGCATGCATGTGTGTGTGCGTGTGTCTACATGCATGTGTATGTATGCATGTGCATGTACATGTGTACATGCATGTGTATGTGTGTGGGTGGTCACTGGGGTCCTACTGTGTATGTACCTGTGTGCGCATGTCTGTGCGTGCATGTGTGTATGTGCGTGTACGTGTGTACATGAGTGTGTGCATGTGTGTGTGGGGCCACTGGAGTCCTGTTGTGTGTATGTACCAGCGTGCATGTGTGTATGTGCACGCGTGCGTGTGTGTGTGTAAGTGGCTATACATTAAAGCCACAAGGGAGCGACCAGGCTGCCCCCCCGCTCCTTGCCCAGCTCGCTCCAAGTAAGCGCAAGAGCTTCAGCCCCGTTCACATGAAAATTATGCCAGCTCCAGTGGCGCGTAAAATTGATGTGAACTGAAAGAAGTGGGATCAGCGTGATCCTCCCTCTCTTGTCTCAACAGGGGTTTCGGCACGTTACACAAGGCCGAGCTTGTCTCTTTAAGGAGACATTGCCCCCTAATTAGTCCGCCTTCCTCCCGGGGTGGGTGAGGCGGCGGCACGGAGTGGCACGGAGTGGGGGGGGTGCGTCCTCCCGTCGCCCCCACCCTCCCCTTGTTGTGCCACCACCCCGCACACTAGATGCAGCGGCGGTGCAGCAGCAGCAGCAGCGACAGCAGCAGCCGCCACCCCACGTTACTTTGATTGACAGCTGAACAAATGTTTCCCCTGTTCGAACGCTGGCGCTCTGGAACTTCAGCGATCTCAAAGCTCCACCTCAGGCAGAGCGAAAGGTGGGCGGTGACGGGGGCGCGGCCCAGCCTCTCGCGGCCTCTCATTGGCCGCCCCCCGCTGTCGCGTCGGAGCCCCACGTGGGGGCTTAGCGCCGAGCCACCTCCCCCTCCGCCCTTCCTTTTTCCCCTACCTCTCTGCCCATTTGTCAGCGGCGAAATGATGGGCATTAATACAGAACGGCGATTAATGTGCCGCCGCCGCTGATTGGTCGCCGACGACGCCCTTTGAGGGGCGGAGTAGAAGCCGGAGGAGGGAGGGGGCGCGAGGAGGGCGCGCGCGCGGCCTGCCGGGAGCTGTAGGGCTGTGCCGCCTGACAGCCGGGCCCCGCCGCGGGGGGGAAACTACAGCTCCCAGCCTGCCCCGCGGCCCGGCCGCTCTGAATATGTATCAGCATGCAAACACCTCGGCGGTCGCTACATTTGGGCAAAGAAGTCGCCGCGCCTCGGCAGAGCGTGGTGGGAGCGCTGCTCGCGGCGGCGCTGGGCTTGTGCCGCGCGGCTCCTCGCAAGAGTTGTGGGGGAGCTCGCCGACCCCCAAACAAGCACAGCCCCGGGGCTCGCATCGGCCCGGGGGGCAGGCGCCGCGGGGACGCAGCATTTGAACCTGCGAGGACAGAGAGAGCGCGGGGCGGGAGGGGGGACCCGCACCCCGCCGCCCGGAGCGATTCCTGTGCTTCTTGAATCCTAAAAGACGAGCAGCGGCTTTGATTGATTATTTCTGTTGTTTTTGCCTTCTTATTTTTGTGGGCGCCGCTTCGCCCGGCTGCTGGGGAGCACCGGAAAAGTTTGCAGCCGCGGGGAGCGGAGTTGTTGCGGAGCGGGGAACCCTCACCCGCCCCCCAGCAGCCCGGGGCTGTGGACGAGGAAACGCCGGGACCGCCGCGGGGCCGGAGGACGCGCCCGCCGGCCCCCGTGGGATGTGGCAGCGGCCCCCCGGGGCCGGGCACGCCTCCGCCGCCTCTCCCTCCCCCCGTGTGCCCGCGCGGGCGGGGGGGCCGGGGACCGCCGGAGACGCTCCTCCGAGCACCAGCGCCGGGCAGCCCCTTCCTCCTCCCCCCCTCTCCTCCTCCTCCTCCGCCCCTCTTCGCATTGTTGCCGCTCAACCCTATGAACCGCGCTGCTCCGGCCAGAAGCGCCCAGTAAAGCGGCTTGGATGATTCGCGATCTGAGCAAGATGTATCCTCAGACCCGGCACCCGGTGAGTGGTGACGCGCGGCGAGGCGAGGGCTTGACACTTGCCGCCGGCCCCGGCCTCGCCTTCGCCTGCCAGGCTGGGGGGACGCGGGGGGCCAGGGCGGGGGAGCCTCGCGGCCGCCCTCCGGCCTCCTCTGCCGGGCGCGGACGGGAAACGAAAAGCAGGGTGAAGGGGGGGGGGGGGCAATTGGGTTGTAGCCATTTTCTTATTGTTGTCTTTGGCTTTCCTGGCTCTCCGGTGCGGGGGTTTTGCTGCCGGCCCTTGCGATCGCTCCCGTCTTTTCCAGCTTCCGAGGCAAACTACAGAGCGAAAGAGGGAGCGAGGCTGGCAGCGCCTTCAGCTGCTTTCTTATCGCCGCAGCCCGGTCCTGGCTCGGCGGGGACCCGGGCTCCAGTGCGTGTGTGTGTTCATCCCGGGGTCCCGGCCCCCCTCCCACTGCCCCGGGCTGTGCCGGCGGGGGTGGGATCCACACACGACTCTGTCTCCTTCCCTTGGCTTACAGGGGTGATAGATAGAGCTGGGGGGGTGTAAAGAAAGAAGGGACTCTTGGGTTTGAAAGAGGGGACCCTGATGGGGGGGGAAGGGGGTGTCTGTGTGGGGGAAAGTAAGTGAGTTTGATTCCTTAATGCCTAATTCCTTAAGACCCAGCCCCCCCCCCCACACACACATTGCTTGGGGCATGTGTTTGTCTGTTGGGGGAAGTAGGGGGAGGCTTAATAGCCTGCTTGCTTAATGCTGTGGGTGGTCAGCCCCCCCCCCCCACGCACACATTGCTGGGGGGGGGTAGGTGAGTTTTAGTAACCTGCTTCCTTAATACTGTGGATAACGGCCCCCCCCCATTGTACACAATGCTTGGAGGGAGTGTGTGTGTGTGTGTGTGTGTATGCATCTGTGCAAGAAAGTAGGGGAGGCTTAATAGTCTGCTTCCATTAATAATGTGGGTGACTGAACCCCCCTACACATTGCTGGGGGCATATTTGTTGGCGGGGGGGGGTGTGCGCAAAAGTAGGTGAGTTGTAATATCCTGATTCTGTAATGCTGTGCGGGTGACCCCAACCCCCCATGCACACACTGCTTGGGGT